TTAAATAAATAAATAAATATCATATGACCGTTAGCAATGGCCATTTTGAAAAAATGACTGTTAGGCTGGCCATGATAGTTTGGCCAGTCCGAGCAATCATTTATGCCATGGGCCGAGCGGCTCATATGCAAGGATCACAGGCTCATGGCCCTCATCTGTGAGCTGTAATGCAAGCCTACTCGTGGCTTTCACAACCCGAGCAATCTTAGCTCTTAAATTTTTTTGTGATTGGCTCAACCCTCGGCTCGATTCTATACATGCTCGAGCAGTCCATGGGTTGTGATGAACTGAATCGAGCAAGCTAACCAAAATTGCTCGACTCATTAGCCATCAGTACAAGTTTCTAATTGTTATGCTAATAATCATTTGACCAAAAAAGTAACATTAAATCTTACGGGCATCATTAAGTGAAACATGTTACCAAACTGTATTATTTATTATGACAAGTTAGCAAAATTGGGGAGTTAGGAATTGAGAATTATACACATTTGATGTGAAAACGTAATGCGGGGCTTTTGTTTTTGTTAAATTTTTGGACTTAAATCATATATGGCCTCATATTTCATTTTCTATCTTTTTTTTTAACGACGATGTATAATAAATAATGTTATTTGATGACCTATTGGAACTTAATGGTGTCAAAATAGAATTTAATGCTAATTTATTAGTGTAACAGTTAGAAATTTGAGCAACTAATAACGTAAAAAAATAACTCTAGTGACAATTGTCGTAATTACTCAAAACTTCAGTGGCCATAAGAATAATTAACCCCAATTTTGAAAAATAAAAAACTTGAATAGTAAAATTAGAATTTGAAAATAAATAAATACTAAAGTAGATGCAGCAGCAGAGCCAGCACCCGACGAGAGAGAGTGGTCTCGCACGCTAGCTCTGTCGAAATGTTCAGTATCACTGGGCGCCCCTGAGCTAGATGGAAGCACCGAAGGAGTAAGAATCTGAATGAAAATGAAAGGAAGGAGATGACCCTATTTTATTTTATTTTTTTTATTGGTTGGGCTGATGTGTGAATTGGCATTGTCATTGGGCTATTTTTTGGTTAAAAACATTAGGCCCAATTCTCCTTTTTCTCGAGGGGAAAAATTCATATGTCAGGTATATTGTTTATATCAATTCACAAGTCAGGTACAAAGTTTAAAAATTCAAAATTCAGGTTTGTGTATAAAATATTTATTAATTAAATATAATAAAGTCAGGGTTACATGATTGATGATCACAGATTCATAATTATTGGTCACATATTTATTTATTAGTCACATATCATTGAATTAATGGTTACAAATTTTTCGAGTTCACAAATCAAAATTTTTGTAGATCACAGATTATTTCGAGCTTACTGATCAAAAATTTATACGTCACAAATTATTTCATTAATCACAAATTAAAAATTTTGTAGATCAAAAGTCACACATTGTCAAATTTGATGTTGACGAATCACCTTTTAATGACAAATGATCGAATTTTAATGTCACAATTTACGGTCACGGTCACAGACGGGACCAAATAGTTGGTTACAGACATTCACCACCACATCCACCAACACAACACCACCACCGCCAACACCAACAATTGGTCACGTGTCAAATAGTCTGTCACATACCACCACCAACTCCACTGTAACCACCACCACTTGCAACAACCCTCACCCATCACCATCACCATCACCATCACCATCGCCACAACCACACCACACCACTACCACTTCACCACCAACAAAACCACCACAACCGCCACCACCAAACACACCAATAATACCCAATTTAACGGTCACAGTCAACTAAATAATTTGTGACTACCATCAACGCTTATGACTACCACCTCTCAAGCCCCCAGTAGAAACACCGTTGCTGCCAAAACCACCATCACCTACAACAAATCTAACATAACGTAAAAAAAAACCATCAAATCCACTGCCACTTCACCACCACAACCACCAACAAGCCACCATTTTCAACTACAAAACCACCACCTATCAACATATCCATGCCAGATTCACCACCACCACCACCTCCACCAACAAAAGCCACCCCACCACTAAATCCACCAACGTTCTAACACCTCACCCAAATAATTGGTCACAACCATAGTGAATCACCACCACCAACCAAATGGTCACAAACCCCACTACACACAAACACTATTTGTCCCACTTAACCATCATCGCCACCACACTCCAACAGTACCAGCATTACAACTGTTTACAATTACCACCACTAACAGCGCTAAATCCACCACCACACCACATCTCCATGGTCAAAATTCACTACCAATGTCGCCAGGTGCATCGTGCCAGCGCCAACAAAAAAAACCCCTTAAATCCAACAAAATTCGACTGACCAAAACTAACAAACCCGTCCCCACAACCATAAGCATCCCTTCTCTTCTCCAACTTCGGTCTGTAACAACCACAACTATCTGTTCTCTTCTCAAGTGGATCGCCACAACCATCTCAAATCACAACCACCCCTTTTATTTTCTGACTTTGATGGCAGTGGCCTCTGATCTATAATGACAAGCAGTGCTTGGCAATCAAGCGCAACAATCACAGCAAAGAGAGAGACAAGAGATCGATAGTGGCTTCTAGTGCAATGGAGAGAGAGATTGAAATGCAAACCATCTATCTTCATAGCGAAATTGATGATCTGTACTGGAGCCTGTCTATGAGAGCATCTGCAAAGAGAATAGAGGAAGTGGCTACATGGTGTGCTTCTCTGCATTTGTGAATGATGGCGGCACTGGTATGGTAGAGAGAGAGAATGATGGTAGTGTTGGCTTAGGGTTCGGTGGTGTAGAAAGATTAGGTTTTGTAGTGGGGTGGGTGGGTAAATTGAATTGATACCTAATTTTTGCTTAAATAAACTTTCCATCTGAATTTTGAATTAGAAAAATTAAATGCCTACTTTTATGTAATTTCCTCTTCCTCCAAATCAACAATGGTCCGAACTCAAAACTCCAAATGACTAAATCGTGAAATCAATCCTCAATTTGTCATTCGCAAAAACTGGAAGCCTGATGCAAAACCCTTTTCCTCCCTTCCTAATTCCATTCTCATTCAACATTCCAGTCTGAAGCAAGACGTGTCCGTCGATGTCGTTCTGGGGTTCCTGTTTTGGTGGTCAATGGTCTCAGAAGAGCTTGACTTACGACTAGTAGCCTTCACGACGTTTGGTAACTGGTAGCCCACTGAGCTGTGACTGTTATGTAGGATCATTTCTCTTACTCTATTTCTCTCCCTTTTTTTGTTTTGGTTTTGTTTTTGTTCTATTTTGTTGCTTTTGGGGGGAGGGGGGGTTGTTCTATTTTGTTGACTATTTCGACTTGATTTGTTGAATAATGAATGTTGTTGTTTGTAAATTGTGTAAATTGTTATTAGTCTTATAAATAATGCGTTATGAATTATGAATTATGATTTATGTTTTGTGACTTATAAGTTATTACTTATTACTGAGAATTGTGATTGAGATTTATGATAAGTAATTTATGCTTTATGAGTTATAATTATTAATTTGAGAATTTATGTTTAGGAAATTAGTATAAGTAAAAAAATTATTGAGAAGATGATGGGCTAATTCAACCTCTGTGTACTCGGTACTTTTTTTTAATTAATTCTAATTGAAAAATAAATTGGGGCAATTTACAGTTTATGGAACGATTATGTTTAGATTGTATCGTATATATATATATTTTAAGTATTTTGTGTTGTATTGAATTATATTCTCATAAGTATATACTTTTTACGTTTTAGTGCATTTACATATATATTGAATAACTTTTAATATTATTTAATCAAATATTAATAAACAACCAAACTATTACGATCGTTGATTGTCGATGGTCGATGGTCAATAGTCAAACTCCAACCTAGCTGAACTTCGATGCTGAGTAGATGATGTAATTTCCTCAAATGGATATTAAGAGAAGGCTTGTAATTTTGCCTTTTGTTAAGGTTAAAGAAATGTATATCTAATTTTCTACAATTTCTTCAAATGTGCTTAAAGCAAGTTAAGTCTACTTTAAATTTAATAATTTGGTTAAACTTGTCTTTGAAAACTGGTTGTGTGCAGTTAAAGGGGAGGTTGTCAAAGTAATGTTCCTAACTCAGAAAATGAGATTTTTGTTATGACAAATGTAATAGATCATTGGACTTCGTCCCTACTACTGCTAATGGTCGATGGTAATGGTGGTGCTACAGGCGGTTGGTACAAGTGATAGCAGATCTAGCATCAGCGGAAGCGGTGTTGGGTGTGGTGATGGTGGTGGATTTGGCGGTAGCAAATCTGGCTATGGCGGTGAGGGTAAGGTGTTGGTACTTTGATGGTTTTTTGTTAACAATGAATGAGTGTTGATTGGAAATGGTAGTTGTGATAGTGGTGGAGATGGTGGGGTGGCGACGACGGCAGTGCGATGATGGCTTTTGTGGTGGTGGTGGGTAGCGAAATGGTAGTACGATGGTGGCTTTTGTGGGGGTGTTGGCGATTTTGTATCTGGTTTGTTGGTGGTAAGGCAGTGCAAGTTGCAATGTTTGAGATGACTAGGCTATAGGGAGATGGTGGTGGTGGTTTTGGTAGTGGCAGTTGCAACGTTGATGCGGCTAGAGACAGTGGTGGTCACAAGTGTTGATGGCGGTCACAAATGATTTAATCAATGACTAATAAAGAACATGTGACCAATGAGAAAGAGGAATTGTGATCAAAAAATAACATGTGACCTAAGAAAATTTTAATTTGTGATTGTTTAATAAATTGTGACTTATGATATTTGTATCAATGACTAATAAAGAACATGTGACCAATGAGAAAGAGGAATTGTGATCAAAAAATAACATGTGACCTAAGAAAATTTTAATTTGTGATTGTTTAATAAATTGTGACTTATGATATTTGTGATCTATGATTAATACGTAAATTGTGACATATAAATTTTTTTTATCTGTGATCTATAAAATTTTTGAATTGTGATCATAAATAATTTGTGACATAAAAATTCTGATTTGTGATCGAAAAATAATGGATGACTAACTAAATCGTGAATTTGTGATCAAATTGTATAGATCTGTATCCTTAATTAATTAATTAATTAAATCATAAATAAATATTAATAAATATCTTATTTTTGAAATTTGAAACTTTTATTCTTAATTTTGAAATGGATAATTATTAGCCTCTTTGTAATGAAGTTTTCCCTTAATCTAATTACTTAAATGTGATCAATTAATTAATTTAATTATTAATTAATTTTACCTATTAATAAGTAACTCAATTAATTAATTTTACAAGTGTCCAACACTTGTCAATTAATTAGTAGTATTATTCTTCTAGTTCTCCTTTTGTGTGTGGTCCATTTGGTTTTCTATCAAAATGTCTAACGACATGTATTATTGTTTTGATCTAATCAAAATATAATAAATTAAAACACCATTTTAGTTTATCATTAATTTACTTAAATTAATTTATTCACATTCGTCGTCTCAAATTGATGTCTAGTAATATGTCAGGATAACACATGTGACAAAAATGTCATGTGCTATAACAAAATCAAACTTGTTCGTTTAATGGTGAAACTATAATCCCTTTATCAAATGATCCAATTGATTATGAGATACTTCATAATGGTGAAACTATAATCCCTTTATCAAATGATCCAATTGATTATGAGATATGAAGTATGTTAATCTCGATTATCTATCATATCTTTTATCCTATCATTAAGTCAACAAATCAAAAACTCTTTTCAACCTATGAGTACACTTTTACCAAGAATTTCAATATCAACTTAACTAAATAAAATGTATATCATAATCTCTTACCATCAAAATGTGAAAAATTCTTTATTGATAATTCACAATTTTTATATGATTCTTGACATCTTGAAAGATAACATATTAACGACTCTTGATAGAGCAACATTCAACGTCATCAAAATATGACTGTCCTCGTATAAGACACTATGATGACTTCAAGTCAAATGACCAATTCCACTACTGAACGTTAGAGATAAATCATTGACACTCGCATAGTTATCCATGTAGAATCTCTTCAACGGTCTCCAATGTTTTATTCTCTTAACAAAACATTCATCGTTACGCTTTAGCATGTGAGATCAGTTACTTACTTTACAAGTAAAAAAATATCATATGTGATGGTCTATTTGTAATAATGATATTCGTATTTCATTATTACTTAAGGTCATGGATAGTTTAAATTTTGGTCATATGTAAATTTATATATCACAATCACAACTTCTTGTAACTAAAAAATTATCAAGATTTGAATCTACGGACTCTATTATTTAATTTATTAGAATATTAATTCAATTAAATAGCAAATCTGCTATAAATAAAATGCATCAATTATATATTACATGTATTTATGTCTAAAATCAATTGGACCTAAGACATCACAGTTACAATTTGTACTCCAAAACTATTAAGAACTTCCTATGAAGGGTGACGACTAGACCATGCAGACCATCAATAAAGGTTTTGACACCGAGATATGCTTGCTTAGCCACCAATTTTGCATCCCTTATGCGTGATTACTCATATACATTATTTGTGCTCCGAAATCTAGAAAGACGCCATTGTGAATAGATCCTTAACACAAAAGAAAAATGAATCAAATCCAAATAAATTTTGCAAGATCGTGAGACAACAAATTATGCTGTTTTGAGCGAACACATGGTACATTATAAAGGGAAAAGCATCAAGAAGCCTATGGGAGCTAGAACTAGAGCCACGATTATTTCTAGTAGTAGTGTCAGTGGCTTTAGGTGGTATACGTAACCACATCAAGCATTTAGCAGTACAGCATTCCCTTGCTATGGCCTCTCTCTCCAGAGAGAGAGAGAGGGGGGAATATTAAGGTTTGGAGTAAATTTTGGTGGGGTGGATGGAAATAGGGTGAATATATAGATTCGTTTAGTATTATAATATTATTATTAATATTAAAATGTGGAATTAAAACCTAATTTTTGTATAAATAAAATTTAAACTTGAATTTTGAAATTGGAACTTAAAAACACCTGTTTAATTTCCAATAAATTAATAGTTGTTTCTAGTGGCCTAATTTATTTTCGAGTCAGACCAATTGATTTTGGTGTTTATATAAACAATCCAACAACATTTTAATATCATTGTTAGGAATTTATTGAGTATCAAAATCCAACAAAACCAAATGGAATGTTAACAACTTTGATAGTTGCCGCAATTTTGGCGACAGTGATTCTCCTCTCTTGAGAAGCAACTCGTAGTCCATGAGCTTTTCATTGAGTTCTTCAATACTATGTCTTGTGTTCTTACTGCTGCGACACTTTTCTTGAACTCGGATCCTCTGCCATTAAGCGCATGGATGATGAGATGAGACTATGGGACATGAGAGACAGTGAGGGTGTCAGACTATGCCAAGGCGTCTCCAAGCCTCAACCGATGTCTTTGAGGAGCTGGCCAGCGGTCTCACTCTACCCGAGAATGAAACAAGAATTGAAGTTTCCTTGTTCCAAGAGCAAGATAAGAATGATACTGTACTCAATATGGAAACTACAAATACTTTGAACTGAGATAGATTAGTTTCACCATTCTCAGAAAACACCCCCAAACAATCCAGAAAATAAAAACAGTTCAACTCTCACAGGGAGAAACTAAAGACATAAAACACCATTTTTACACGTTCATTCCATTTACATCACACGAACAAAACGATTTCTTGTTCTATAATTTATCCATGACTGCCCGTTGAGGAGATTGTGTAACATTTTTAGCCAACAGCTCAGAAGCATCAGCAAGGCCCTGTAACATTCTTAATATCTCTGAGGTATTCTCCAAGTAGTATTTGGCCTTGCTCGGTTTCTGTCCAACAGTGCAAGCAAACACTTCAGCAACTGGGGAGAGAGATTCATTGGTCATGGCTTGCATTATCACCTCAAACATATCCTCATCCGATCGGTCATCTCCTATACAAAGAACGAAATCAGGAAGTACTTCCTTTTGTCGCATTGTCGCCAGGAGTTGTGCTGCCACTAGCCCTTTATTCACCCCCTAGTAGTGAAAAGATGGTAAAAATATTGTTAACAGGATTAGAGCAAAATCTTGTGTACCAAAGTAGTAAATAATGGGTCCTCCTGATATGTATGCAAGTAAAATAAAGTATAAAACAAGAAAAATATGAAAACCAAATACAACATGAGAACAAAGGGATCGTCCACTTGAAAAAAACCTGATAATGTATTTGCCCATGGCATTCGCCATTCAGTAAGTAGCCCAAGCCTCATTTCAAGGTGATGAGCTTCTCGTCAGGCTTAAAACAGTTTTAACATTAAGCTTAAAATCTATGTTGACATGCACTTCCGAACAAGTAGCTATATGGACAGACAGTATACATAATCATGTGCACCGATGAATGCAACCATGCATATTACAGAAAATACCAGGGGCATATACAAAATCTGATAAACCTTCCAAAACCAATTCAACCACAATTCCAAAACGGCTAACTCAAACTGAATTCTAAACTTGTTTATTCATCGGCAATAATTATTGCATTCGGTCTCAAATAGATGTCCATTTTCACATTGTTGATTCATGGGCAATGGATTTTGGTCTCAAACAGGATGCCATAGTCTGATTTGGCACATCATCTGACAAAATTATTTCCATTTTCTTCTGAATATATAATAGTATAAGGGGCAAGTTGAGACTCTTTTCACTATTTTAATTTTATAAATGGATCACAAGACAAGTGTGCGGTGGAGCTGCTCCATACGGACTTTTTCACGATCTCTAATGCTCTCAATTTGAAGTAGTAGCCATATGCATTCACCTATTAGGTCCTCATATTAACATATCCAACAAATTCTTAGCGACTTGTTTCATTTTGTCACTAATGATTGGAAATATCAGAATCCAAGGTGTATTCTGGATCCATAAGATCATGAAAAGATATCAATCAAACCAAAATATGATAGGAAAGCAAGACAAATGTTGAATGGTAATGAACAGAAAATAACGCAATGCACAAATTTATGTCATTCGTCTCTTTGAAGCCTTCGTCCATGGGCCATGACAATGAATCTACTTGAAACAATGTATACCGAGGATTTCTCATCTTCTTACACCAGAGTCCTCTTTATACCTGAACTCTCTTCTCAACAATGGGAAACTCTCTCACAACACGAACAATGAAATCTTTATGTAGGCACCATATTGGGTCAAATCTGCACAATAAAAGTGTGTTTGACTAACCTATGGAGTTTTTTCAGCTTACTCAGGACTAAGCTGATGATAATCTAAAGCTAATTTCCTCTAGTTTTCAGGCCATGTGAAACTTAAACCAGGTTAGTTCATAATTCAGGTCTCAATAAAAGACATTGCAACAGCACATAGCAATAAATTAAGGACAATATTAAAATCTAATCTCGTAGCACTATATAATAGATAACTCAGAATATGGGAAGAAAAGGAAAAATCAATTGTGTCCTAAGAAATCAATCCTTACGATGAGACTAGTACAATTATATACACCTACATCTCCAACACAATACCTAAACCTTTGTTGATATTCATGCCTATAATGACTATGATAAAGAAATTTTAACACAACAATCAAGTTTGCAAAATTATAGTTATAGTAACAACTAAGAAGTCCTTAAATCCACTTCCATGTGGTTTCCTAAAATCGGCAATACTTGATTCAACCAGCTAGCCTACTAAAGTGTCAGCATGCAGATCTTTTTATTAAGTGCTTGTTTGGTGGGGATTTTTTTAATTGATTTTTTGGCCGTTAGAGATAAAGTGAATCCTATCTGTAAGAGAAAAATTCAAAAATAATAGCTGGAATAGTGAAATGACGGTCAAAAAATTTATGTTAATTGAATTAAAATCTCTACCAGACATGCTCTAAGTTACTTGGTCCTGATCAACTGCACTTTTTCAAGTCCAAACTGTCCAATTCAGGGGCGGAGCTAGGATCTAAGTTCAGTGCGGGCAAAATTTTATCGATGTTGAATGTCGAGTTTTTAGTAATGGATTTAATGATGATAAAAATATAAAACAATATTACGACAAAACTACAAATGACATAATTTATATATTATATTTGTTTTTTCGCGAGCTTTCATACTTTGATATCGTTGTAAAATAACTTCATTATCGAGCTTCAAAAATATATTTTTCTCTACATTAAGGTGGATTCAATCAGGTTGATCATTAAAAACAAAAAGTTAAAAATAATTTTTTTTTTTCGGTTCTCAACTGAATGACTCTTTCTTTCTAAATTTTGATATCATTTTATTTTAAACAATCAATTTTTTGATTAAGAATATATATATTTCTTGTAATTTTCACACAGTCCCTGTCTTACAAATTAAAAAATATTTGTTTTTTTTTTTTCAAAAACAATTAATTTGAATCAAATGAAGTCACCTTTGATTTAGATTAAAATCATATATTTAGTATATTTTGATAAAAAAAAATTATGGAATGTGTGAGTAAAATGTAGCGGATTTGCTAAAATAAATGGTCGAAATAATTGTTGGCTTTAATTTAAATTGAGAACTCGAATGGTTAAAATTTGATAAAATATCTTATTAAAATTAATTGTTTATAAAAATTACCATGTTCACAAGGACAACAAATGTAATTGAGATGCATTTGAAAGTTTAGCAATCAAATTACTATAAATGTTAGAGAGCGAGGACTACTAATGCACTTTCTCCTATAAATTATCAGTCAATAATTTACAGTTTTTTGACCAACCATAACATGACAAGCAATTAGTTTAGGACAATATAATATCTACAAATCTTCTCTTACAATTTCACACTCCATAAACTCCCAAAAATCAACTGCTTTATTCTTCAAAAAAAAAATATATATATATATAAAATGTTTGGGCTTGGGCCCAGAAGTCCAGTGCCCGCACTGGACATTATGGCAAGTCCAGTGCCCGCACTGGACATTATGGGGCTCCGCCCCTGGTCCAATTTCCACGCTCCAACTTGAGAGGTGATTTTGTGGTGTTCTTATTGTTGTAAACTTGAGAGGTGACATTTTGTAGGCATAGATATAGACATAACATAAGCTTGACTGCAGAGATTTTTAAGAAGTACTAATCCTATCATAATGGAATAACAAATTCTTAATCAATTCTCAAGAAATTCGCTCACTGCTTTCTCTCGTGATTTCCCAGTTGATGTCTTTTGTCAGTAGGGATGTGGTTGTTGAGTTTCACATTACTCGTAAAGACAAAATGCGTGATTACCATTAGCTTTATGATTTTGAAGCGGGCGGTAATTGGGAACAAAATTTTTCATTTACCATAGAGATTTCTTCTTCAGCTTGATTCCTATGGATACATTAAAGCTTTTGATGTTCATAGTTGGGTAGTTTTCACTGTACTATGTAACGAAGTGAGGTTTTCCAGCCATCCCCCCGACCCCTAGATTAGCTTTTAAAGATTTTATTGCTTGTTTTTCAGCACTAAGTTCAAAAAGAAGGATAATTAACATGCACCATGTTTTCACCTTACTATCATCTCCATGCATACATTTAGACTTCGAACCATAACCTGGTCAAAAAGAATCTTTAGCATATTTCTTGAGAATTGAATCACTGAACAAATATCATTCACATATATGACATGATGAAATAAACTGATGCCTTTCAAGTAATAAGCACCACACTAACCTGAGGCTTTACTTCCACAATGTGTTGCCCACTCTTGACGGAAACAGGTTCATTTGCCAGGACACTCTCCAGGTGATCTAGAAGCTCCTTAGCCTGACACGAGCCAAAATCTCGATCTGCAAGTTGGTAATTCCAGACAAGTGCACTCTCCTTGGTTTCTATGAAAGAACCATCAGTAGTTTCTGTATATAGTTGCATTACAGGCTCAACAATCTGTTTCCAATAAAAATCTTGCACGGCCACACAAGTTTCCCAGTTCATATTGTCGTTTGGCCTAAGAAATGAAACTAATCAAACATTTGACAGGTAAGAAAAAATTTAATCTTGGAGCATAAACCATATCAAAGTCAAGTTTTCATCTCAATTAATAATTCTGCAGGCTTAAGATTCCAAAATCCAAGTTTATTTAACTGATTCTCCGTTCTCTTTTGGACGTGATATCTTACAGCTTTGATTTTGAAACAAAATAACACCAATGAAGACCAAATTAAGAGTACAAACCTTACAAAATAGCCATGTTCAGCCGCCATGCCCAAATTTTCGCAGGATGAAAACCATCGCATTAAGGTCTCTTTGTTCTTTCCACTTACAATGAAAACAAAATTCTTGGGATCTCTGCATAGTTTGTTTAATATTCCAATAGCCTCAGCATTTGGACTAGTATCAACAGCGCTTTGCATTGTGCCATCATAGTCCAAAAGAATTGCACGGCTCTTCGTTCTCTTGTAGGCGGATACAATGTGTTCAACCGTCAGCTTCCTGAAACTAGGATCCAACGCAATCACACGGAATCCCAAACCAAAGCCGATACCCCAACACCTCCTCCTAACATGATCCCTGCATGCCCTTTCCAGGTCTTGCAAAAAACTATGGGCCCAATAGGCAACATCATGACTACTTACATACTTATAGTGCTTATCATGTCGCATTTGCTTCTCCAGGTCGGCAATTATCAAAGCTGAATCCATAGCTTCAGCTACAGCATCAATATTCCACGGGTTAACCCTAATTGCACCACTAAGAGATGGAGAACACCCAATAAACTCTGAAACCACCAACATGCTCTTCTTTGGTACAGATGGATTCAGGCCCAAGGTTTTATCTAGCTTATCAGTTCCTTGTCTGCACACAACATACTCATAAGGTATCAAATTCATTCCATCCCTTACTGCAGTGACAAGACAACACTCTGCAATTACATAGTAAGCAATTCGCTCATAAAAATGAAGTGAAGTATCAATCAGAACAACTGGATCATATCCGGGTCGTCCAAATAGCTGCTTAATTCTATTAACTGTGGCATAAGTTTCAGATTGAATCTCCTGTACATCTTTCCCTCGACCTCTGGCAGGGTTTGCAATTTGAATTAACATAATCTTACCTCTCATATCAGGATGCTGAGTAAGCAACTGCTCAAAGGCCAGAAGCTTCAAGCTAATTCCTTTGAAAATATCCATGTCGTCGACCCCAAGCAAAACAGTCTGACCCTCATATTTATTCTGTAACTCTGCAACCTTAGCCTCTGTCTCTGGAAGATCCAGCACGGAGTGAAGCTGACCCATGTGTATCCCAACTGGAAGAATTTTGATGCTGACAGTACGGCCATAGTACTCGAGTCCTATGTAACCACGTTTAGATTGATATGATACCCCCAGCATTCTACTACAACACGAAAGAAAATGTCTTGCATAATCAAACGTATGGAAGCCAATGAGGTCAGAGTTCAATAGTGCTCGAAGAAGTTCATTCCTAACAGGTAGAGTTCGATATATCTCTGATGATGGGAATGGACTATGGAGGAAAAAACCCAGCTTCACCCTATTAAACCTCTTCCTTAAGAATGTTGGTAATACCATCAAATGGTAGTCATGAACCCACACAAAATCATCATCGGGAGTGATTACTTCCATTACTTTGTCAGCAAATATTTTGTTCACAGAAACGTAAGCCTGCCATAGGGAACGGTCAAACCTACCACCAAGATCTGGGGACAGAGGAAGCATGTAGTGAAATAAAGGCCACAAATATTGTTTGCAAAAACCATGGTAGAATTTAGTGAAAAGCTCGGGAGGGATGAAAGCCGGGACACATTTGAAAGTTTCGAGCAAAGTTTGAGCCACATCATCCTGTTCACTCGGCTCAATTTCTTCTTTCAGACAACCGACATATATCACTTCCACATCTTCTCCTAGACCATCTTTGAGTTGTAAGAGAAGAGAGTCCTCATCCCAACTAAAATTCCAACCTGGCTCACCATCTGATCTCCGATGTGCCCGAAGTGGGAGTTGATTCCCAACTATGATCATTCGCTCTTGGGAGATAGATGAGGGGGCATCGGATCCAACATTACTTCTATTTTCATCATCTAGCTCAGACAACACTCCAGCTACAGTTGCAACTCGAGATAGTTTCTTCCCCCGACGGCTGAAGGCTGGTGAATCTCCAGAGGTAAGATCCGACAAGTTGGAGTATGACCTCGAAACCATAACTTACAACTATAGATATCTTTCTACCGACCGAACGAGCAAGTAATCGGAGCAAGAGAAGGTTTTTTTCCCTTTATAAAATCGATGAAAGCCAGCTCTACAAGTATAACCAGTTGAGAAAAATGAGAAATGTGCACCCACAAATAACACATGCAGAAGAAACGAATAAATAAAATAATTACCAACAGAGTAATTTCAGTATAGGATTATACCATCTAACCATAATCTTCTTTCGGAAAAATAATTAGACATTTAACCTAAACTGTTGACACGATTCTAATTCTAGATATTCATTTCAAATTTCCTCAATGAAAGAATAAGCTCATTAGAAATCATAGATAAATTCAAAGTTAACCATAAACAAATCAAACAGTGAAAAATTACAGTAAAACATAACCCAATCAATAAGTAACCAAATAAGCCAACAACAACTGGTCTTTCTAAGCAGAATCACTCATTTAGAAGGCAAGAAAAGAGAAGTACACAATCAACCCATCTTACAGCAAGAAAGATCCAAGTTCTAGAATCTTAAGACTCACAAATTGGAAAGAATATAGTGGAAAATACTGTTGCAAGGGGTTGCAGAAAGTAGGCAAGAAATGTAAAAAATATAATAATGAAAATACACAAGATGCACCAATAAAGCTATTATTTGTTGCTATAAATTACTTACCTTCTCGGAAACTTAAAGAGTGGCCTTAAGAGCACCAAAGATTCTCAAGATTAGATTCCCATCAACAGTAAACACTAATTGCATCAAGAAAAGCCTTCCTTTTGAGCCCTTTCCTTTATTGATTTTTACAAGTGCTCAAATTTCTATCTATAATCCTCTTAAAGGTAATGTCTTTATACAAAGAATCAGAATCTTTTTCATACGCATACAGAAGCAAGCAAAGAGTGAGTACTGTGTACTGAGTGGGTATGACGAAAGCACAGGGGAATATTGAACTGCAATTTCAACTTTCCTAACCATGGTTAAGATTAATGCAATCATAAATAAACCCAACAAATGATTCCAGCAAAACTCGACTCGACTAGTCATTGGATTCATGCAGCGCGAAAGATCGCGTTTCACGCATTTGCTCATCAATGAACATCCCACGATTCTTTTGGGCCAATAATTGAATTTGACAACGAACACGCGCTTAGCAGTCAAGTATATGAATCAATTTCCTCGGCTTGTCTGCTGGTTAATTTTTCAACCAGACACGCAATTGAAATAATGACAGTTTTTTAGATGACTTGGCAATGTAACAATCAGTCTACATGCACTGCAAATTTTTTTACGGAAGTGTCATGGGATAGGTGATTTATTTTATGTAATAAAATATTCATATTGGGTTCCCTCAGTGTAAGAGCATGTACAATTTTTGTGAATTTATTCCCTGAACACAAGGAATAATACTGTATTAACCCACTGTTGTCTACTATTATAGAATTAAAATTTTAAAATAGTGCACTTTTGAAGAATATAAAATTAAAAAGTTGAAAAAGATTTAGAATTTACATGTAAAATATTTTTGATGTGCTATATGTACATTGCCACTTACAGATGGTTCAACAAAATCTAATTAACCAAATAAAATGAAAAAATAAAATAAAAAATCCATCGATTTATTTTTGATACCTCATCAATCTATAAAAGATTGAATGGTAATGTATAATAAATATTTTATTATAAGAATGAGTGATTGAAAATGAGTTTGACCATAATATAAGTTAGAATTTTTCATATATTTTATTATGAGAATTAATGGTTAAAAGTAAAATTGAGATTAAAAAATGTTTCAATAATCACCTAACTTATAATATGATCACGATTTACTCACTAATTTCTAACATGTCAAATGAAAATTCCAGACGTGATATAACCCTTAAAAATTTTACAATTTATTCAAATCATTCAAATAAAATATTTCATTACTCACCCAATTTATCTTATGGTCACAATTTACTCATCAAATTTCAATATTCTTTTCAAATGGTCACTCATCTTTGATAGTTGCACTCCATCCCCATATTCCATTTCCTTTGTTGCTGACTTATCCAAATTCCATGTTACAAGTTATAATGTTAAAATAATTTCAACTCAACCAAACTATCCAACTCTCCAAATTCACCATATGTAAAATATGGCTTCCACAACCCTATAAAACTTCTTCAAGCATAATTGTTTGTGCCGAATTTCAACCCGAAAAACCTTAGTCCTCAATTTACTGATCTCACCTATATACAAGTAAAATGTGTAGTAAGACATGATCGATTATTGAGAAGGACATGATAAAATACTATTTATAAAGTCAAATCCTCCAATTGTACTATATGTTCTAATCTCAAATTTCCTTTTTATTTTTTATTTTTTAATTTTGCATGCTTGTGTTCAACAATTTGAGGAAGGAAATGTGATCAAACACTGGCAGTTGTGTAAAGTTGAAGTACCTTTTGGACTATGTTCGAATTTGTTGTTTTTCGTTCTCAATCCGATTCGAGTTAAATTATATTTCCTTCCTCAAATAGTGGGACACTGTCCTATGAAAATGAAAAATTAGAATTAGGGAGACGTCGAACAAAAATGATACAATTAGGGGATAGGATTTTATAAGTAGTAGCTTCTAGTATTTTTCTCACACAATCATCTTAGTACGTAACTTAGCTATACGTGGATGAGATGAGTAAATTGAAGACTAATATTTTTTGGGTTCAAATTGGGGACGAGCTTGACATATGAAAATTTTGATGAGTTGGATGGTTTGACTGAATTATAATTTTTTTGACGTTCATAACTTGTCCGTGGAATTTTCGTGTGACACTCTAGTAATATGAAGGAAATACAATCTGACGGATGATAGGTGGAGTGCGACTCTTAAAGATGAGTGATCATTGGTATGCATATTGAAGTTTGATAAGTAAACCTTGACCATAGTATAAGTTGAATAATTAATGAAATGTTTCACTTGGATGCTTTAGTTGAGTTATAATTTTTTTAACAATGGTATTTTTTTTATTTTTTTTTTTTGACGCTCTAGCAATGAGACGAATGAAATTTGATGAATTATGGATGAAATGTAAATTGACAAAGTTCAGTGAGCATTATTAAGTATTTTGAAATTTGATGAGCAAATCATGATCTTGATATAATTTAGATGATTATTGAAATATTTAAATATATATCCGTAATTTTTCTCTTTTTGACCCCGTTTGGTACCCATGTTTTTAAAATACATTTTTTTTCTTTATTTTCAACCATATATTTTTTATTAAAACAATATTACACGTAAAACAAAAAAATTTCTATTTTTGTTGACGCTCTAGCAATGAGATAAATGAAATTTGACGAATTATGGATGAAATGTAAATAGACAAAGTTCAGTGAGCATTATTAAATATTTTGAAATTCGATGAGCAAATCATGATCTTGATATAATTTAGATGATTATTGAAATATTTAAATATATATCCGTAATTTCTCTCTTTTTGACCCCGTTTGGTACCCTTTTTTTCAAAATATATTTTTACTTTATTTTCAATCACACATTCTTCATTAAAATAATATTGCACGAAAACAAAAAATTATCCTTATTTTTCAACTATATATTTCACGTCAATTTACTATTCTAAAATGCATTTTTACATAAATAACTTTCAAACACCCCATGTATGTGTGTGTGTGTATATATATATATGAGATAATGCTACATGACCCAAGTCGATTGACAAAGAAGGATTACAAAATGACGTGGCATCACTGTGCTGATTTAAAAAAAAAAACTCAACATTTGAAATTTGAAATCCACCTCGTGAACTCTCTCTTCCATTATTCTCCTCTTCCAAAACAACCCGTGAAGTGAACTCTCTCTCTCCCCAAATTCCCAAAGTCGATTACAACCCATTACAACCGAACCCTTCCCAAAGCACTAACCTCCGACAGCCATCAGCGCTGGCAGTCTCCACACCTCCGGCAGTCTCCGCACCTCCAAAAAATTACCGTACTCTGGTTTAGAAAGTCCAAAATTTAGGGAAAATTTTATGGAAACTCTTTTTCATATACATTGTTCAACGGCATATGAACAAATTTATGCACTTTTATATTCATGTATTTTATCTTATATTGGAAAATTTATTAGGAAACATCTAATCTTAGTTTTTTCCAATGTAGCCGATACTTTTGAGGAGGAATTGATACCTCTTGAATGCCAATTGATTGATTCAGATGATGGTGTGAATGATGATAATTTTCAGTATGACGAGAATGCACCGGAACGTCTTATGGTGGGGCTAAACGCAGATCTTACAATCCAGTTTGAGGCGACTACTGGTGAAGGAGAGTTTTGATCAGATTTACAAAATATAGAGAATCAAGAAAAAGCAAGAAAGAGGGCAGCCATGATAGAAAATAAAAGGGTCATTCAAGGGTCAGTTCCATTTGCACCACCAAGAATGAAGTAAAATTCAGCAACCAGTAGCAACTCAGCAAAATTCACAAGCCACCTATTGATTTAGATTCTAGTTTGACAGCTGTGAAGTCATTTTGTCATTGAAGATATTTGTAGGATTATGTTTTTTTGTGTAAAGTTGCTGGAAATATTTGAGGGTTGTAAGTTTAGATTAATGTGCTTATGGTGCTTTTGCTATCAGACATCATCCTTTCGTGAAAGGCATGATCCTATTGTGTATTGCATGATCCTTTTTGCTATATCAAATATGGGCCTGTAAGGCTTATTACTGATGTTTTAATGGATTTTCAGTTGAATTTATTAGTCGATTTGTGCTGGTGAATTTATGCTGATGTTTTTCTGCCTTTTAGAATCATTTAGTTATATGGAATTGTTTGATACACTTCATGCGGTGGCTGACAGCAATTAGGTAAAGTCATGATCAGCCACAATGCTAATGTTCTCCTTCATAGATTAAGGCTCTTGGATGAACTGGAAAAGCATTAAATCACTGTGACTACCAATATGATCAAAGGACTTGATCAAGATAACATCACTGTTACACCAACACACACAACCAAATGCTTTAATTGATTATGCAAGAATAACAAGTAATTAAGGACTTAGGTCACTGAGATTTAACTTCATTGTAGAAGCAAAATAGAAAGAGGAAATACACCTGTTACAAATACAATTATCAACCTATTACATAGGAAATTCATCACTCCATAAGTATGCAGTGCAAACTACAGAATATTAAATGATTTAAGGCAAAATTTATCATGAACAAAACTCAAGAACATCAAGCACTCCTTTAATAAATAGTAGGCAAAACTATAGATCTAAAGCTAAATTTTTTTTTTTTAATACCAATCAAGGGAATAATTGATACAATACACAATGTCAACAACATACCAACTGCACTTTCGAAAGATTAAGAACAACCTAGCAACTACCATACAAATTATCCCTTCTTCGTCCCTCTTGACTACATGTGAATGTAACATATCTCAAAACACCATGATCATCCCTTGTCGAACTCCTCTTCCGAATTGGAAAACCTACGGCATATGCACATCTTACATAAAATGCATTCACTTCTTTTTCATAAGCAGCTATTACATAATACTCATCGACATTCATATCGGAACTTTTATTAAACCACAATCAAAATCCAAATCCAAATTTCCCTGTTAGCAACTGGATCCCAAACATATACACAACCTTTGCCTTGCATCCCAAAATAAGCTTTCCTTCTCCAACTGTTCTCCTTCAGCTTTCTCAGTCTTCCACGTCGTATTCCACATTCTCCTCCTCAAACTTTACTGACACCAGAAACCTTATGTGCTCACCTGTAATTTGAAAAAAAAAAAGACAAGGAAATTGATTAGATTGAGTTCAAAATCGCAGTACTCAATAACCCCGCACACAATACTCAATTCATAAAATCCTAAATGTCAAATATGAGTATTATTTTCGCACCACTGGGAACTAAATGTCAACTTAATAGAGTCTAGCTCAGGTGGACTAAATTCCGAGACCAAATATGCCAAATAAGCATGAAGTCTGAGGTAAGCTAGAGGGTTGTAATGTTTGAACAAACAAAATGCAGAAGAGACGTCCAAATTGTTTGTCTATAGAATACAAAAATGCAGGCACTAGTATAACAGAGTTTAAAATTAATTTTTGTAATTAATGGAACATACCTACAACCGGAGAAGGAGTCAGACCTGTCGAAGGTGGAGATTGGACTGCTACTGCCGGAGACAAATAGAACATCAGTAAACCGTGTGCTTCACAATCATTTCCTTCCATTGCATTCAATGGTACATAAGAAAATAATTTAGAGAGAGAGAGAGAGAAGATGAAGCGCACTAAAATAGTTATTTAGCATTTTTTTCTAATCTGTTTCATTTCCCATACACTAGTATAACAGAGTTTAAAATTAATTTTTGTAATTAATGGAACATACCTACAACCGGAGAAGGAGTCAGACCTGTCGAAGGTGGAGATTGGACTGCTACTGCCGGAGATGGAGCCGGACCTGTCCAAGATGGAGATCGGACTGACCACTGCCGGAGATGGAGATTGGACATGGCACTTGCTGCCTTTCTTCTACGAAACACAAGTGTGGATTTTAGGACGTGAAATGCAAGGTGAGGTAGTAGAAGATGGGGTAATGTCTTTGGCACCTTCCACTGACCTAATTTCGTCTTCCTTCCATTACGCAGAGACCAGGTTTTGGTTTTCGCGCCTTGTTGACCCAATTTTTACTGTTAATAAATCACAGCCATCCAGTGCCTTTTAATCTCAGCCCTACACGTCATTTTGTTACCCAAGTTTGTAACCCAACTTGGGTCATATAGCATTATCCTATATATATATGCAACAATGGCGGCTCGGAGGTCGGGGCTGACTTACAGCCATCAACCGACTTTGTCGGAAGTTAAAATTGAGCTCTACAACGTTGTGAATTAGGTTTACCAAGAATATTAAAAGTAGTATGGTATGAACTGTGAAGTGAAATTGTACCTTGAGGATGAGTATTTGAGCCTCGCGAGAGAGTAGGAGATTGAAATTGATAAATTTTCGTAGAGATTTTAATGCCTTGGCATTGCCGGCGATGAGTTCCTCCGCTCTATGCTTGGCACGGCGCCTTGAACTCTACGGCCAGCCACTGCGGCACATCCGTTAATGACGTTGAAAAGTAAAAGAAGTTAATGGGTTGGAAACGAGAGATTAACAAGGACAATAAACATGAGTCAAACTTAAGCTAAAAAAAATTTAGCACCTGTTTGAGCCCCATTAATTTACATTACATTACATTTTATTTTTCTCTCTCTTATTTTCAATCACACAATTTTTCATAAAATAATATTACACGTAAATCGAAAATTTTTCTTCATTTTCAACCACTCATTTTTCAAAAAAATATTATTCCACACATTAATTTTTCATGTAATGGAGCCCAAACGGGGGCTTCGATTCATAACTTCTTCTTTTTTCTACTTTTAATCACATATTTAAAAAAAAATCCATTTTCACTTAAAAAATATTCTAAACAAGTAACTAAGGATGTGTTTGATTACATTTATTTTCCATAAAAAATATCAATTTTCCACCCAAATTCTTACTTGGAGTGTTTGATTGCTATTTTTTTTCATGGAAAACATTTTCCAACTTTTGAAAATATGTATAATTTTTTTTATTTTTAAGGAAAACATTTTCCTTGGGTAGGGGTGGTTTTTATTTTCCACAAAATATGAAAAATATTTTCTTTTCTAAGAGTGTGTTTGATTGATATGGAAAATATCATTTAGAAAAGAAAATATTTTCCATATTTTGTGGAAAATAAAAATCACCTCTACCCAAAGAAAATGTTTTCCTTAAAAACAAGGAAAATTAGGCATATTTTCAAAAATTGGAAAATGTTTTTCATGGAAAAAAATAGCAATCAAACACTTCAAGTAGGAATTTGGGTGAAAAACTAATATTTTCCATGAAAAATAAATGTAATCAAACACACCCTAAGTGATATTTTCCATATTAATTAAACACACTATAAGGGTTAATTTTAGCAAAGATTGTGGAAGTTTGTTGAAATTTTCAAAATGGTTATTGAATTATTTTTCTTACAAATCACTCGAGTTCCTAACAATTACACTATTAATCACTCGACTGGAAAACTAGTGGAGCATTAAATACAATTGTAAAATTTATAGATTGAATAAAGACGCCTTTAAATTTAAACTCGCATTTGTGTAATATTAATCAAAGTTGAACGTATATTGCATGTTATTTTAAAATACTTTATAAGCAAATAAGTGTGAAAAGAGGATTTGTTTAAATGAATTAATTGAGAAGATTATGTGCCTTTCATAAAAATTGTGATTTATCACTATTTTGATTTCATGGTTTGAAAATATAAAGTAGAACGGAAGAAATTCTCTTTCAATTTCTTTAGTTCTCAATCAGTTTTGGAACTGACTCTGTGATTGCTTTATTTTCGTGTGGTACTTGACTGTTTGGTTTTTCTTTTTTCTTCTTTTCGATATCATTATCATTTCTTCTCTGTGTCTGAATTTGGGGTGGGCGAGTGAGGTGTGTGTTCAGGAATGAGAATGGACTCAGGAGCTATCTCCTTTTGTTCTTTGCCTTCACTTACAATATAGGAGTTGAGCACCATTCGGTCATTCAGGAGTGAAGGAGATAAACCACCTGATCTAGAATCAGGTGACCAACATAGTAGCAAGGAGAGATGGACATCTCCCAATTCATCATGGTGGAGATAATGGGGGTTTTCATTGATAATACTTGGACTATCCTTGTATTTCGCATTGTGTTCCATTTATGTCAAAAGGAAACTCTAAATAAGTTGTAGGTGATATTAAAAGTCTAACATGATCAAGTGCTCACATCTGGAGATTGCAAAGAAAATTCTACATCAATTATTCATGATGTAAGGTGGTTAAGGATAAAAGCTTCAAAAGTTCACGTCTGAAGATTGAAATGAAAATTCTACATCCTTTATTCATGGAAAGCTTCAAAAGAACTTTTAATGACAACAGTTTTACAATACCACAAGTTTAATGTTACTGTTTTATTTTCTCCATCTACATTTGGACAAGGGATATCCTTGGTGTTAATACTAGAGTTTGAAAATAGTATGGGAATGAGTACAAGATCCGATTCACAAAGAGCAAGAAAGTTTGGAAGTGCTCTTTACACTGTAATGAAACCTCTCTTATCTCTTTCTTCTCATACACGTCTTTGTTTTCTATTTTATAGTTACTAGCTCTGGAGTCCATTTACGGTGATAACATTTTCATTTTAGACAAACAAAATGGGCTATGGTCTTTTCAGGTAATTTAGTGATTGAAGTAGTCCATATTTTCCGTTAAGGAAAATTTTCTAATATTAATATTATTATACAGATTAATATACACATTGAAGTGCCTAGCGCAATTATGATTACTACAAATTTGAAATCCCATGATACCCATGATGGACAAGATGGCGATTCTTCAGAGTTCTCATACTCTTTCAAAGTTGAGCATCTCCAGCCAATTCTATTGACATGTTTGTTGCCGAAATCATATCCGAGCCACCATGCTCCTTACTTTACTATTTCGGTTCAGTGGTTGGACTCTAAAAAAATTTTGGATCTCTGCTTCAAGCTTGAATCAATCTGGAAGGAACAGCCTGAGCAGGAGGTTATATACCAATGGGTAGAATGGTTACACAGTTCTACCCTCTCTTATCTTGGTTTTGATCATGAAATAGTTCTTGGTCCTTATGGCGTAAGACATACTGAAGATAGACGTGCGATTTCTGGCAGCATCTCCCCAGATGTTGATATCCCTTCAATGAAGAGTTACAATGATGAACAGCATAATGAAAACTTCTTTAGAAACATCCACGAGTGCTGCATCTGTTTCAGTGAGTTTCAAGGTATTCGTCGCCACTTTTTCAAAAATCTACTAAATACCTGACTGCATAAGTGCCCGAAGACCAAAGTATTAGGATGCATAATTCTCTTCTGTAAGTTTATCCTATATTAAAGATATAAAACTTAGAAGTTACAAGTACTCTTCTGCCAAAGATCATTTCATGATGCATTAGGGAGTAAATTTGAAACTCTGATTAAGTTCAGTGAACCTAATTTATTATATTCTATTCAATAGTTTCAACGCGAGGCATGTTAATTTTGGCTACATTTTCCAAGCAGCTGTCAATATTTGACAACTAAAAATAATTTTACTAAGACTTTGGTTTTGTGGGAGCATATTTGTTTCACTTGCTGCATTGACTTAACTCTACTTATCATTAGTGATAATGCTCAGAACCCTTTGAAAAAACTCATGGCCCTGAAAGCTGAACGACCCTAAATAATATTTGCATTGATAATCTGATCTCCTGAGTAGGGAGCTGAAGTCCTTCATAGTTTGGTTTTCAAAATGGAAGATGCGAATGATCTTTAGTCTATCTTGACTTAAAAGTTGACTTCCCATACGCAGTTAAGATGATCATTAATTTGCCTTGTTTTTCCTTACCAGGTTCTGAGTTCATTAGATTGCCATGCCAGCATTTCTTTTGCAACATATGCATGAAAACTTATTCTGACATGCATATAAAGGAAGGAACAATATTGAAACTTAAATGCCCGGATACAAAATGTGGGGGAATGATTCCACCTGGTTTACTGAAACGACTACTTGGGGAAAATGATTTCGAACGCTGGGAGTCACTTATGTTACAAAAAACATTGGAATCGATGTCTGATGTGGTTTACTGCCCAAGATGTGAAACAGCCTGCTTAGAAGATGAAGATCAGCATGCCCAATGCTCGAAGTGCTTCTATAGCTTTTGTACACTTTGCAGAGAGAAACGTCATGTAGGAGTTGCCTGTATGACACCGGAAATGAAACTGCTTATTTTGCAGGTAGTGAGTTTCCACTTAATGTATACTTGGTATTTTGTAGTGTTTCTCTAATGGTACTTTGGACGGTATTCTTATCATTTTGAAAGCAAAATAGCTGTGGTTCACCTGCTTTTCTGTCATAATTAACTGTCCCCGTTATTCTTGGAATTTGTTATTCGGCAGTTTGTAGTATTGCGGCTATAAAGGGTAGACATGAAAATAGGCCCTCTTTTTTTCAGAAAAATACATTGATGGGTCAATGACTTCTACGTGCATTTAGAGGTATGACTGTTCACTAGTATGAGGAGAGTGCAATTGTCAAATTAGTGAATAGTACAATGGCACCGGGCTTGTGTTCAGTTATTGCACGAAACTATCAAAACTAGTTCTTCTGGCTATCTCGAAGCTCTCTGTTTCCTACCTACCTCACTCTAAAGGCTATTTATACCATATTTACCTTTCCGATTTAAATTGGGTGTAACCCTGTCAAACTTAAGAGAAGCACTTCATCTTGCCGACTTTGAATTACATTATTACTCCCTCCATTCATGACAGACTTCTTATATTCCAACTGTTCTTTTACTATTAGCAGATTTGCAATAACCTGGCAGAATTTAGCCTCTGTTTGAGCTCCATTATATCGAAACTCATGTTTTTTTAACTCATTTTCAGTCACATATTCTTCTAATAAAATGATTTTACACGTATAGCCAAAACTTTTTCTTACTTTTTAACCACATTCTCCGAAAAATCATGATTACAAAATCTATTTTCTTAAAAAAATGGGGATCAAACACACCCCTAATTTAGTTTCTCAAAAATTATTCCCCACAACATGCATGCAACTAATAATGGTGGATTGCACTCTCTATCAATCATATATACATAATTTTTTTCTGGTGAATAATAATCATGGTGAGTTTTTCTAAAGAAGTCCGTTTAATAGTCAAAATAATATTTTTCGTTATTTGTATATAGATGGATTCATTTAGTGCGAAAATGTCGTGTGTGGGTATGTTTCTTACTTTTTGATGTTCATGCTTTCTTTGACCTATTAAGGAAGCTGCTTAAGTCTGTTGTTTCCATCTGTTCTCTGAAGTTTCTTGCATTCTCCATTCAAGTTCTAAATATCAGTTGCATTTTTTCTCCTAAAGCACTAGGAGTCCTGTTCTTAGATCTAGGGTTACCCAACCTAGATAAATTTGCTTGATATTTATTTTAAGTATTCAACAATATATTCGGTTTATACTTCTCCTGGGCTTTGTTAATCTTTCTTTTAGAAATCGTATTATGATAATTTAATATGTGAAAATCTGATGTTGGTATCAGGAGCGACAGAATTCAACTCAACTGAAAGTTGATCAAAGGCGCCTCGAGAAAGAACTGATCAATGAGCTTCTTAGCGTCAAGGAAATAAAACGTTCTGCAAAGCAATGCCCTTCTTGTAAGATGGCTATCTCACGAACTGAAGGGTGCAACAAGATGGTATGTAATAATTGTGGGCAGTATTTCTGCTATCGCTGTAATAAGGCAATTGAGGGATATGAGCATTTCAGGTCCGTCGTTTCCTTTTACTATTATAGCTAAAGTGGATGTTTGGCTAGGCTTAAAAGTAACTTTCTAAAAAGTTCGTGTAGACGTACTTTACGAAAAAGTTACTTTTGAGTTTAGCCAAATTCAATTGCAACATCTAATTTCAGCTATTAGTTATGTCATATTTGTTGGGCTGATGATCTTTTCCTCGTAGGGATGGAAATTGTGAACTTTTCCAGGCAGAAGAGATTCAGATGTGGGAGGAGAGGATGAATGCTCGCCAAGTTGGGGGTCAGATTCAAGCTCAATTGTTTGCTGACTGTGGTCATTCATGCCCTAATTGTGGTCAACTCAATGCAAAGGTGAGATGATGCATCCAGTTTTGCTTTAATTCTGATGTCATTAAGCATATAAATCAAGAAAAGAAATAAAAGTAACAACAGAAAATGGCAACTGGGTGGTTGGTTGAAAATCTTTCTGAAAATATTGCAGTCATTTCGGACTGAGTTAAATAATACAAGCAAAGAGAATAACCATATTGACTTTGAATTGTTTAAGATATTCGAGAAAGTATATTAAATAACTTGATGTGTAGAAAATAATAAGAACTTAGGATCTTAGAGTTGTAAATAAATCAATTTATAGTTCTGTTAAGATGTCCTCGAACATGTCACAAATTGTTGCATTTGAAGAAGTAACTTGCATCTTGTGAAGTTCTTTGTTGTTCAGTTTTCTTTTATGAAGTGAAGTCGACAAATCGGCTTAAAGCCATATCTTGCTGTGTGGAACCTATAGAAAGAGGAATCTAATCTTCAAGAAGATTACTATTATTTTCCTTACTATTTCTTGAATCATGAAATTATTGCAACTACTTCAGAATTGAATTAAACAACATCTGCAAAGTGAAGCAGAACCATATGAACTTCGAGTTATCTAACACAGCAATAGATCTAGACTGTTAGATTAGCTTAAATTGAGTGTTGAGATTATTTGTCAAATTCATTGGTAGGAGGAACGGTTCCACATATGTAAAATGTATATAAAGTGTTATACTTATTGAAAATATTAGGCTCTTGTGGATCTAAATTTATCATGATACCATAAGAAATCTAATCTTATGAAATGAGATCACCGTTTCCTTCTCAAGACCTAGCTGTGGTGTTCATGCTTAGCATTGAAAAGACCAGCAAAAGTATAATATTGGCCCTTTTTAATGTCCATAATCATTTTGTGTCACAATAAGGGTGTTGGGATATGAACCATCATAAAATGAGAAAAATAAGGAGGATTAGATTTGCTTATGTTCATAATATACTTATAAGTAAAGATGAAAAATCAAAATTCGAAAAAAGTAGCAAGCAAGCAATCAAAACTTTCAATTATGAGAGTACAGAATTTTAATAAGAAGATGAAATGTAAGAAAAAAGAAGGTGGTGGTAAAATTTAACAGGATTCGGATGAGAATTTTTTCATGATTTTAGAAAAAATGTTATCAAAACCCTTGATCTTTCACCAATATTTTGCTGAAAAATAGAAACCTGAATTATATATATATTGTGATTATGAATTTTTTATGTCGAGAAGATGGTTTTTATCTGTTGCTGGTGTTTCATAGTCGGCGTCGCTGTTTGTCCGTCTTTATTATTTCTGTTACTATCTCCACTAACAGTTTGCATCTTCACTTGGCTCGTCTTTGTGGACAGGTTGGCAATAACAATCACATATTTTGCTGGGCATGTCAAAATCACTATTGCTACTTGTGTAGAAAGATGGTGAGACGCGGCTCGCAGCATTATGGACCCAGGGGTTGCAAGCAACACACTGTCGGATAATTGTAAAAGATATCCCATTTGAGTGTGTGTTGCTGTTTGGACATTAAAGAGGCCTGGAGGAACTTGAACTGAAGAAGTTATAAATTTGAAGCATAACACCGTCGTTGTTCAAACCAATAAGTAAACATCAGCTTCCGTTCTTTACCTACTTACACATCCCTGCATTCGATTGACATTTGAGTGTTGCTTAGTTTGGACTCGGATTTACACAATATTGACTGTTGTATATTCTTCTTGTACATTTAGAAATTCAATAATTTGATTCAAGATTTTGCTCGATATAACGATTTGTGATGCATTTAAGAGGTTGAATTTTCCTATGCTAGAAAGAAGCCTTCTATTTGCCCTGCTTATTCTGCAATGAGTACCTCCTGGTAGATAGTCAATGTTGTGTTGAGATCTATTGCTTTCATTTCGTTGTCCCCTCATTTAAATTTCAGTTGTGCTGGGGTGCCACAGTAAGGGTTCAACCCCTACCGACTACTCGCAGTAGGGATGTGGGTGCGTATTTTTTGAATAATTTTGTATACATGCGGGACCCACCTGGCGTGAGTAGTCGGTAGTGGTCCTTGTAAACCAATTTAATCCTTTAAATTATGACACCTCACTATATCAGTTCAAAATATTAAATAGTAAAGGTTGAAGATATGCGTCCCAAGAAAAGGGATTGGGAATATAATTGCAAAGGGTAGTTATTTCTTTTCTTTTTACTACGTAATGGTTAACATAATAGTTTAATATTAAGTCATTTTTAAGGCTAGTCTAATGAAAAAATCTGACAGAAACTATGACTAAAAAGGGGGCTGTTAAATTCTAAAAGGTTAAGATGATGATAATGTAAGAGAAGAGTTGGGGATAAAAATCTCTAAAGATTGACAAAGATAACCTCGAATTAACCTTGTGAAGCCCTACGACTAAGCACATATTTGATGGTCATTATTTGAAAAAATAATATTATTTTCAATAGTGATTTAGGAGAATATGTAATTAAAATTAGGAAAAAAACCTTAAGTTTACGTACAAAATATTTTATTGTGTGAATATATGGTTGAAAACGAGTGTGTAAAATAAAGAGTTTTAAAAAAATGATTATCAAAGAGGACCGACTATAATGGAATTGAAACTAGTTCTCTCATTTCATAGCAAAATATTAAATAGTCTTAACTATTAAAGCGAGGATTATAGATAAAAATCATATCTTGTGACGAGTTTTTACTTATTTTTAACTATCGGGTGCAATGAACATGAGCATAACATTTAGGGAAAAATTGCAGCAATAATTCCTAACTTTTGTTTGTGTCAACGAAGGTCCCGACCTTTCAAAAATATATATCTGGGGTCCAAATAGATGAAATTATCTATTTGACCATTAATTGACCTATAGACAAAATATTGATCAAATTTTGACAAATTTTAAAAGGTTAAAATAGTAATTTTATATTTTATATTATAAAATAATTAAAATAAAATAAAAATTTTAAAATCCAAACCCTATTGAAAGGCCATCTTCCCCACCCTCGTCCCAAATCCTGATCCCAATCCCAAAACCAAACTCAACTCGGCTAGCAACACACCATCCCCCCACCAATACCACCGTCCAAATTGTCGAACCTACATATCATCGGAAAGCCCTCATTCCCCTCTACACATCCCACCCAACCATGATCTTCTCTACCAAATGTCACCAGAATAACTAGGGTTGGAAACGGTCCGGGTCGGTTCGACCAAAACTATCACCGAACCACCAATTTTTGGCCCTACTATAGTCGTATCATAACCACGTAAGTCAGTTCGATTCGTATCTCGATTCAGACGGTTAATAACCATGACCAGGGACAAACTAGGACTTCGAACTAGCTAGGGCAAACGTTGATACCATCAATAGTCAACAGCTGTATAGTGATATCATTTATTAATATCAAATTAAATAATATTAAAAATTATTCTATCTATATGTAAATACATTAAAACGTAAAAATCATATATTTATATCAAATTACATTACAATACAATTTGAAATAATATAAAATAAATGATACATGAGACTTCTTTTGTGTTATCAATGTTTAATAAATCGTTTGCTCAACTAGAAGTAGTTACGGGATTAGATACACCAATACAAGAACTAGGGTGGGACATCGATTGAAAAATAATTTCACAATCTGTATTAAAATTAAAATTAATTTTAAAATATAATTAAAGTTTCAATTCCCAACACCAATTTATTACAAATTATAAATTCTCCAATTTCTCATTTTCAATTTTCACAAATCATATAATCACATTTCATAATACTCAAATTATTTTTTTATATCACAATTCATAGTTAATATATTCTCAAATTCTCATATAACACATAAATAAATAAATAAACACAATACTATGTCAATCTAGCAAATAATATCCCAAATAAAAATGTTAACAATATCCCAATTTTCAAATGCAAAATTCGTATTTAACAAACAATACTATTAACATAACAATACTAAATAATATCCTTGTTCTTTGATCCTTAAGCATCGAACTTGATTTCTACTCAATAACTAAAAAGTTCCAATCTCAATTCGTATTTAATCTTCATTCATAGAAAGAATAATGAAAAGCTCAATTGTCTAATTATTTTTTTTAACAAGTACTTCTAAAAAAAATAAAAAATAATGAGTAATCAATTCGGACGGATCGACGGTGTAAATATCATACCCGCTCTGCCTCGAACCGGGTCATTAAAATCAAATACCATATCTACCTCATTGCACCATCAGTTCGATTTTTTTGCTCCATTCGGTTCAATTAATCACGATTTTTGATTTTGATGATTTGAATTGCCGTTCCTAGGAATAACCACCCAAAACCCCCAATTTGCAAACTAAAAAATTGCCGGCAACTCCTCCTCCAATCACACCCACCATCGTAGATAATCACCAGTTGACTCTCACAATCCAGGCATCCAATCTGATGATGGTATTTCAATAAAAAATGGGACAAATAGTCGATGCACTTTTTTATATCCCTCGTCTTCTTCTTCACTTTAGACCATCATTTTTTGTGAAATTGGTCTCTTTTCATGAGTTTCTGTAGTGTTGGTGCTTGATGGTGAGATAGGGAAAAGTAATTATGGTGGTGTAAATAGGTGTCGAGTTGGTGTTTAAGTGATGGTGATTTTTTGGTAGTTTTGGTGTGTGGATTCTATGGTGGTGGTGTTAAGGTTTAGTTTTAGGTGTGATATTTTTTAATGGTTGTGCTGATGGAGGGGAAGCTGTGCCGACGTTAGTGCAGACAAAGCCGCAGGCACCATCGCCAGTGAAGAGGAGGCTATGTCGATGATGGTACTAGCCAGTGGGTGGGTGACGATTAGGGTTGGCAATGATTCGGTTTGACTTTTGATTCAGTCAAAATCAGTACCGAATCATCAATTTTTTAACCATATCCTAATCACACCCTAACCACATAAGTTGGCTCGGTTCGGCTGGGTTCGGACGGTTAATAACCATGAACTAGGGCAAATCTAGGATTTTGACCCAATTAGGGTGGTCGTTGATTGTTGACCATCAACAGTCAATAACCGTGTTATTTATTAATATCAAATAAATAATATTAAAAATTATTCTATCTATATGTAAATACACTAAAACGTAAAAATCGTATATTTATATTAAATAACAATACAATACAATCCTAAATAATATAAAATAAATGATACATGAACTTCTTTGTGTTATTAATGTTTAACAAATCATTTGCTCGACTAGAAGTAGTTACGGGATTAGATGCACCACTGCAAGAACTAGGTTGGGACATCTATTGAAAAATAATTCCACAATCTGTATTAAAATTAAAATATAATTAAAATTTCAATTTTCAATTCCCAACGCCAATTTGTCACAAATTATAAATTCTCCAATTTCTCATTTTCAATTTTCACAAATCACACAATCATATTTCACAATACTCAAATTAATTTTTAATATCACAATTTACAGTTGATATATTCTCATATAATACATAAATAAAAAAAATAGTAAGTCAATTTAACTAATAATATCACAAATAAAATGCAAATAATATCCCAGTTCCCAAATGAAAAATTCGAAGTTAACAAACATAAGTTCCTGCCACATCTATCACATAAATATTCAATTATGCTTTATCTTTATCAGTCAACTTATATATTATGCTCTTGTAAAATGACTAATCATCATATCTTCATGTATAGTAAACGATATAACAACTTGCATAACATATTTCACTTTAAACATCATAAGCATTTCGTGAAATCAAGCTTAAATAGTTCATAAATCATGCTTGAAAGTAAGGTTGAACATAACATTTCATTCATACCTTGGGTTCACCGGACGATAGTAGAAATCTAATTTTAAATACTTGTTTAATGAAAATTTCACACAACAAAAAGATAAACAAGTAATCACGTACCCATTATAATAGAAATCATTTACTTAACAAGTTGACAAGTTATATCGAACCCAATTGAGTAAAATCATTTCATTTATTTGAGAAGTTAATTAATTATTTTTTAAAACACACACAATTCATGCACAATCAAGGTGCAGTAAAACAAAAGTGGACAGAAATTAAATTCACTTATACTACAAACATATCTCCTAAATAGTAAATAAGTATATGTATATATATATATTCACACACACAATATATATATATATATATATACACGTGTTAACAAAATAACATAACTAAATAGCCAACTTCATCTCATTTGCTGCATTTTCACTATTTAATAGACAAAACAAATATATATATATTTCCATGTAGACTACTAAATCTTCAAAATAAATTATTATTCTAAGAAAAATTTATACATGTAAATCGCACTTAAACATGATGAAAAAATATATATACTTTAAAAAAAAGGCGAGTCTACAGAATCGACTAAACTCGTGTTCTGATACCATTCTGTAATGACACGAGATCTTTTTCATTTGCTAAATGATCAATATTAAGTTGAGGTCCATATGAAAAATAGTAAGAAAAATTCGAGGTATTACAACGGGGAGGCTATCCCGATGGTGATGCAGATGAAGGGAAGGTTGTGCAAGCACCATCGTCGGCGAAGAAGAGGCTATGTCGGTGAGGTACTGCCCAGTTGGTAGGTGACGATTAGGGTTGGCTATGGTTCGGTTCGGTCAAAATCATCACCGAACCACCAATTTTTTTGTCATACCATAACCACACCATAATTACTTAAGCCAGTACGGTTCAGGCAGTTAATAACCATGAACAAGGGCAAATTCAAGACTTCGATCCAACTAGGGTGGTCGTTGATCGTT